GTGCAATATGTCAGCATTTCCCCTTTCTTTCCTGTAAATTGTAACTTTTCTGATGACTAGCATTTAAAATCTTTTCCTGATTAAGGAATTGTCAGCTGAAATCATCAGGGATTCCCCCTTAACCATTTTGGAAGAAATCTGAAGAATTTAATGTGTTGCTTGGAAATTAAGAAATTTGGAATAATCCATGTGAAACTCAGTGGTGAAATAGAATCAAGAAATGATGGTTTTCTTGAAAATAAGATAATGATAGGGTTGCAGAAAGAATAATCAAAACCATAGAAATAATGAACTCTTTAAAACATTTAATAAACTTTAATGTCTTTGTTCTGTGCTTTTCAAAAGATTTGTTACATTATAAGAGCTAAATTGAAAGAGAAATATTAACATTTCAGATGCTTAGGAAATGGTTTTTAAATTTAATTTCTCCAATTACTCGAGGTTAACAGAAACTTCTTTTATAAGTGCGTGTTGCATCCACAGTGCCACTAGAGCAAGGGTAGCAGGCTGATATGGTAGAAAGCTGACTCACCAGGACAGAAGTTAAGAGATCTGTTTCAAGTGCAAGGGGTATATAACAAGCCTTCTGTCCAGTGGCAGGATGGGGTGGGGTGAGCAGGAGACAGCTGGCTAGTGTGATAAAGAGTAGGGCTCTGTTGGAGAAGAATCCTTAAAAAGCCTCTCTGAGGCAGTAACCTTTGAGCTGCACCAGCATGGGGAGAGCATAGCCAAGAGCTCAGCAAGTGCACAGAAAGCAAACAGCACATGCAAAGGCCCTGGGGCTAGAGTAAATTTGATTATCAAGAAACAGTGAGTAGAAGACGGCTCAATAGGTGCAGCAAACCACCATGGCACATGTATACCTGTGTACCAAACCTGCATGTTCTGCACATGTATCCCGGAACTTAAAGTGAAAAAAAAAAACAACAAAAAACCATTGAGAAGGCAGGTATAGCTAGAGCATAGAGGGAGAGTGGTGAGGCTAAGGTCTACAAGGTAGGAAGAGGCAGCCCTGATAAAAGTCAACTATGGGGAGCAAAAGTTAACAGTTGAGTTCATTTACTGTGTTTTAGAATTCTCCCAATTCTAAAAATGGCACGTGGAAAACACTGTAAAGAAGAAGGAAGGGTCTCTATGCCAAATCTCAGCCAGCTGCAAGCTCCAAATTTGTATCTGATGACAGACAGTCCTTACTCTTGGTAACTCCTAGAAAGAGAAGGGCCTCACGACTTGCCAGCTTAGCTCTTTTGTTGTCACCTTCCACATAAACAAAGGAGACTGAAGCAAAGGAAAAGTGTCCTCAAAGTCGGTCATCCTGTGCCTCCCGCGCCCGCCCTCAACCCCGTGTATGTGTTACACATGCCGAGAGTTCCCTTACCCCCCATACTCCTCCATGGGCATAGCGTGACACTGTTCAGTCTGGTGGCTGAGAAGGAAAGGAAACAAAGAAACAGAACTTTACTTTTCATCTTTCAACAGGCTTTGCAGAACAAAATGAAAAATCAAAGGGAGCCAAAATGATAGATCTGAGATTCAGTCCACCAGCTGTTACAAAAAAACAGTGGCAGAAGCAACTGATACTTTCTCACTCTATCTTCCAACCAAGACCCCCTAGAAAGCCCTGCATGAGCAACTTTAGGCTATCCGGCACTTCCAGGAGAGTTATTTAGAATAATGGAAAATGAGAAAGATTGGCACATGTTTTTCAAAGACCGGTAATCAAATAGGGTAGCAAACACGCAGAGATTTGAATTGAATGAATGTAGGAGATGATTTGTTTAAAATAATTTAGCAACTAGAAGCAAAGTCTTTAATGCTTAAGTGGGTATCTAAGCAGCAGGCCAATTCCTCCCAGCCATTAAAAGCTTATACAAATCCCATATATCAGTAATGTGCTTTTTAGGTTTGCAATTTCCTTTCAAGGAGCCTTGCTTTTTTTTTTTTTTTTGAGATGAAGTTTCACTCTTATCACCCAGGCTGGAGTGCAGTGGTGCAATATTGGCTCACTGCAGCCTCCGCCTCCCGGGTTCAATCAAGCAATTCTCCTGCCTCAGCCTCCTGAGTAGCTGGGACTACAGGTGCCCGCCACCACACCTGTTTGATTTTTTGTCTTTTTAGTAGAGATGGGGTTTCGCCATGTTAGGCAGGCTGGTCTCAAACTCCCACCTCAGCCTCCCAGAGTGCTAGGATTACAGATGTGAGCCACCACGCCCAGATGAGCCTTGCATTTTTAGACACTCAACCACTCCCTGAAAATAACCGAGCCAGGTGGTGGTTGTCTACCAGTAATATTTTTTCACACCTCTGGAAGTGGAGCTGTAATCCTTCTTGATGTAAATGCTGTATAGGGACTTGCAGGCTTTCCTTCAGTATTTTCATTCATTCGTTGTACACCGTGCCTGAGCAGTGTACCAGCTGTTGGTGATACAGCAATTAAGTAAAATGCTGGATGAGGCCCTATGGGGAGATGGGCAAAGTGTGGGAAGTACTAGAATAGCAGAGAAGTAAACAAAGTGAGATGTCAGGGTGGAATGGGAGCGACTAATCCCAGCGAGGGAGGTGGGGATCAAGGAGGACCTCAAAGATGTAACTAGACTCACACTGAAGGGTTTAAAGGAAGAAGATATAATTAGACACAGAGAATCACATGAAGCAAGACAGACACAGAATAACCACATAGACCATATTTTCTTCATCATGACTTTTCTCATTGACTAGAATCTTTTTTTTCTTTTTTCTTTTCATGTGTGTTTGTGTGTTAGGAACAGATGGGGAGTTACAGGGATAGAGGGGTAGGGATGGGAGAAGTAGATGGGTAAGGAATGTGAGGCTTCAAGTCCCAAACAGAGTAGTGTATGAGCTTTAGTGTCAGAAAGACCTGAGTGGGCCTTAGGCTGTTCCATTACCTCAGAGCCCCAGCTTCCATATCAGCAAAATGGGTAAGCGTCCTCTTGGGTTGCTGTGAGGGTGAAATGAGGTGGACTGTAGCACAGCGAGGGGCTGGGTTTGAGTCAGACAGACCTGCTTTCAAATCACACTGACTTCTTGTATTAGCTAAGGCATCTTGCATGCTAAAACCTCAGTTTTCTCATCTGTGAAATGGGAATAATAGTATCTCCCTCATGGGCGCATAAGGTTTCAACTAGCTCATTCGTGAAAAGTGTTTATCAGCACAGATCTGTGTACACAGTCAGCAGTGTTAGCTTTCTCCCTCTTTCTAATAGAACCTTGCTAAAGGTTAGTTCCCTTTCCCCTAAGGAAATGTGACAGTTTGCAGTTTTAAATCCTTCGGTAATTTATTCACTGTAACTGTACAAAGAAAGAATGTGACCTTTTTAGCAATTATATTGTCCATGGAGAGTCTTCCATTCAGGCTCACCACATTCATTTTCCTTTGCTGGTAGCCTTTTTTTCTCTCTCTTTTTTAAAGACAGGGCCTCACTCTGTCACCCAGGCTGGAGTGCAGTGGCGCAGTCACAGCTCACTGCAGCCTCAACTTTCTGGGCTCAAGCGATCCTCCTACCTTATCCTCCTGAGTATCTGGGACCACAGGCACATACCACCACAACCAGCTAATGTGTTTTTTTGTTTTTTAGCAGAGATGAGGTCTCGCTATGTTGCCCAGGCTGGTCTCAAATTCCTGGGCTAAAGTGGTCCTCCCATCTCAGCCTCCCAAAGTGCTGGGATTACAGGCATGAGCTGCTATGCCTGGTTTAGCCTGATTCTTATCAATACCTGATGATAACAAATACCATCTCAGGGCAAACAACTGAATGGCATGTCTTCTTTTTTGATTCTAGTTTCCTAATTTGAGGTAGTTTCTATACAGCTTTCTTACCTTCAGCGACACATACTTAAGCTCAGTATAACTCAATTCAGAACAACTCACCTTCTATATATAAGCTTAGTATCATGGGAAGCATGTGACCCAAGGCCCTCCTCTCAAGCAGCTAACGGCCTTCTTGGGAAAATAGAACTTCCAGAAAACAATTAGGCAACAATATGAAGAAAGTCTATGACGAGATACAAAGTCTATTCCAACTATGTTTATGACACTGGCAGTACGTGCACTAGTCGGAAGCTGGAATTTTCAGGGGAGGCTCCAGACTTTAGGAATTATGATCAACCAGCAGGTCTTAGAATAACCATTTTCCTCCCTCCCACTTCCCTGTCCTACCTTCCTTCCTTTTGAGATAGGGTCTTGCTCTGTTGCCCAGGCTAAAGTGAAGTAGCATGATCACAGTTCACTGCAGTTCACTTCTTAGGCCCAAGCAATCTCCCACCTCAGCCTCCTGAGTAGCTGGGACTACAGGTGTACATCACCACACCCAGCTGATTTTTGCTTTTTTTTTTTTTTTTTGAGACGGAGTCTTGCTCTGTCACCAGGCTGGAGTGCAATGGCACAGTCTTGGCTCAC